TATGCTATTTCTGAAAAAAAAAAAAAAAAAAAAAAAAAAAAAAAAAAAAAAAAAAAAAAGCGCTTGTGAGTATGCCCTGAGCCCTCCAATCCCGACTCGTAGCCTCGGTCGACCAGGATTTTTCGACCGAGCTCTGGACGTGATTACAGTCAGATGCATCCAGGTCTGGCCGTAATAGCAATCACCAGATTGGCTGCTGGGCTGCGGCTCCACTCGTCGTCGTCGGTCGTTCCTCGTTCCTTCGTTTTTCTCCTTTCGTTACCCACTAACTTCCCTTCATGAGGTCCCAACTCTATTCCTTTTTTTTATTATAATTATTGTTTCGTTTTCCCATTCCCCTTCCCATTCCCAGCCCCCGTTGAAGTGGAACTGTGTTTTTTTGGTCCCCTTACGGACATCACATGCGTTAAAAATTAAATTTCAAGCATTGCCAATACAAAACAGATTCGGTTAGTAGGGACGCTGGACCCGTTTTCCAGCAGGTGCAGCTCCCCACCAATAGACTGGAGCCCGTAGCCGGGCTGCTAGTGGTGAATGCTCTTATCATCACCACCCACTAGCAATCTGGGCTGGTTTTAAAAAGAAAAAAAAAGAAAACAAAAAGAAAAATTCAGTCAGACAATAATGGACTAAGGCCTGGATCCCATGGGAAAAAATCGTGCGAAAAACTGGCATGGAACACCAGCCACATTTCGGGGAGATTGCTCGTTCGTTTTGGACTCCATAGGACAAAGCAGGCCAGCCAGAAAGCCGATTTCAGGACGGCGGTGAGGTTTTACGGGACCCCACAGCCTGGTAAACGGCAGCTGGAAAAGCCACATTTTTCATTTTCATATCCGTTTCCGATCGAAAAAGTGGCTGTAGAGGAGTTTCCGCTGTATTTTTGTGCCCTTTCCAGAGAGTAAAGGGGGGGGGGGCGGGGGGGGGGGGGGGCATGTCCATGGTTAGAAACTCCTCGCCGGCCCATCCATTGTCCGTGCCAAGCCGTTCCCTGGTCCGCTGGACAGGCTTACAGACATGCTGTTGTCGCCCAGTAGGGGGGTGACAACCCAAACATGCGCAAAGCCGGACACCCGAGAGTCCCTGAGACCACCATCCAGTCCATCTCCAGTTTCCAGCCTCTCCAAGCTCGTGGAAACTGGCTTTTCCAGCCACTCTGGTGGGGTCCTGTCATTCCGCAGGCAAACTCTTCCAAACACTCTTCCACGGGAACCCGAAAGGGCAGAAACTTTTCCAACACTTTTCCTGTGGGGTCCAGGCCTAAGTGGACTGCACTATTGAGGAGGGGTTTTAGCAGGACTCAAGGTCAGATCGCTGGGTCAGATTTATTTTTTTATTTACTTATTTATTTTTCTGCAGACCTACAAATTTAGTGTCAGGAGGCTGGGCCGTCTGTCCATAAAATCCATAGGCGGCTACTGTGGTAAGTGGGGGAGCGAGTCCCATAACTGCCATCATGCTGACCTTTTTCTGTTATCCTTTATTTTTTGCTGAACCTTCATTGCATCCATGATATAGACCTTCTATCTTTGGTCAGAATCTCTCCATCTGACAGTGCTTCCGTCTTCACCCAAATAGAACCCCCGGCTATGTATCCCCCGCAGCCCCTGCTGCGGGGTCAGGCTCGGAGGGCAGCCATGTTCATGGCCGCATCCGCGGCTGGGGTCGGCCACATAGCAGCCACGTCTGTCTCTTATACACATCTAGATGTGTATAAGAGA